GTCTGTTCATTTCCTTTGCCCATTTTTTAATAGGATTATTTGTCTTTTTGTTGTAGAGGTGTTGGATTTTCTTGTAGATTATGGAGATTAGGCCTTTGTCTGACCCGTACTGTCCAAAAATTTTTTCCCAGTCTGTAGAGAATCTTTTTGCACTTTCTTATCACAACTAATTGGTTCATGTTAGTTGAGATTGACTTCATTTCCTCCTTTGATGACCATACCTGTTTTTCACTGCCCGTAACCCTTCATTGGCTCATCAGAAAAAAATCCAGGTTTCTTTGAGTGACATCCAAGGCCCTCCACGATCTGTCCTTGCTTTGCAGCCTTCTCTTTCTCTCTTTTTCCTAAGGAACTGGATTTTCTGTATACAACTTACACTTTAATTCTCCTTGCTTTTGCAATTTATCAAAATAATAGTAATTCTGTAACATCTGTCTTAAAAACCACTACCTTCATGAATTTTTCCTTATCTGGGCAAATGACCACACAGGGCACTATAGTCTAAATTCTGAGAATAAACACTTTTTTCAACATGGAGAAATAGGAAAATAAGTTTCAAAATTTTGAGGTCTTCCTAATTTACTGTACAGAAATAACATGCTAGTTTAGAAAATTATCATTTTTTAAAAATCCCTGGGCCACACTGCCAACGTAAATCTTACCCTGCCTTGCAGTGAGGAAGATGAAGATGAAGCCCTGTACCAGAAGGTGTCCTCAGAGCAGTGCCAGGTAGAGCATCTTGGGGACTTGCTGTTCCTATGCCAGGAATGTGGTTTGGCAGGAGACTTCTTCATCTTCTGCCTGCAGGTAAGAACTACATAAAGCTCATGGACAGCTTTATTCCTGGGTAGTTCCAGTAGACCCTCTGAATTTTTAAGGCATTCATAATTTTAGGACCTAAACTTTAGGTCCCAATTTAGGGAAAGTTATCAGAGGACATAAGGGTAATTTATTTTGTAGTAGCTTTGAGGGGAGTGGTAAAAGAAGAAACTTATTTTTTGCAGTGAACATATGATCTGACTACTTCCAAGGTAATCTGCCATGTTATTTTAGACATGAACAAAGCAGAACTGTGGTCTATGAAAGGGTTAATCTTTGCTCTGTGTTGACAGTAAGAACTCTTTTGAAGTTAATAGAGGGTTTTACAGCTATAGAGTAATCCCTTATCCTTTCTGACTCTTGTGTTGTCAGGTATTTGGAGAGGAGATTTAGCAGTTTTGCCTCTCGCATTTCATTTTGTAGCCACTTGAAACCTTTTCCGGGTTTGTTTCTTAAGTGCTAGTGGTTGTGCTTCCTTTTTTCTCTAATCTCTGATAGTAATTTGTACCCCATAATGTTACTCCTTATTTTCACTCTCTGATATCATAAGCCAGGTAATGTCTGATTCCCTGTCCCCCAGCTCTGCCTTTTCCACTAAGGTTGGTGTGAGGGGTGGGAGAATGCAAGGAGGGAATCAGGGCTACAGGGAGCACTTTTTTGATGCTTTCTGAACTCCCATATTCACATCCATCTCCATGCCCAGTCACTTATTCTAAATAACATTCTAAGGAGATGTGCTCGTATTTGTATACTTTTGAAAAATAATTGTTTAGAAAACAGAAAATCAAAAGGCTTTGCTTTAAATGAGGTTTTCTTAACCTCAGCACTATTCATTTTGGGCCAGATAATTTTTTGTCGTGGAGGATTATCCTATGCATTGTAGGATGTTTGGCAGCATCCCTGGCCTCTCCCCATTAGATGCCGGTAGCACCCCCCACTTATGACAACCAGAAATGTCCCCAGACATTACCACATGTTCCCTGGGGAAAAAAATTGTCCAGGCACGGTTAAGAACCACTACTCTAAACTGTCAATTACTTTGATAAACCATTCATTGTGAGGAACTTAAGGTTTTCCCTTCTCAAGGAAATTTACAATGTAACGCATAGGTGAAAGACCTGCAAAACCCACAGTAATGAATTGTTGGTAGATGTTTAGTTCTCCTAAATACCTTGGTGAAAAGGGGCTGTGATGTTGTAAGCATCTAATAATCTCTGAAAGGGGCTTGAGTTGGAGGTCTCAATTCAAGGAAGGCTAGTGGTAGGGATCATAAAAGTACTGATAAAGAAGTCTGTCAAACTAGTTCTTTGTATGTATGTATATGTTTTTTTATTATGAAGTTTTACATTTTTATATACATGGTATCATAATTACATCTTATTCTGCAACTTAAACATTTTTCACTCAACAGTGTTTTTGAGATCTATCCATATTGATATCCATATAGATTTAGTACATTTATTTTAATGCTATGATATAATAAATATGCCACAAGTTATTTATTCTCCTATTGCTGGACATTTAGGTTGTTTCCAGTCTGGGGCTATAATAAATAATACTACAGTGAACACAGACTAGTTCTTTAAATACATGTTTCACTCAGTTTTCTAGCTCTATTTCTGAAGCCTCTAGTTCTTGTACAGGCTTTTTCCTCACTTTTTGTCTTCTCTCATACTTATAGGAGTTGACTCAGGTAGCCGCGGAAGATGAAACAGAGTTAAAAACCAAGCTCTTCTCCAGCAAAAGCCTCTTGGAATTAGAACGGCACCAAAGTTTTCTTGTGGAAGGCCAGGAGCGGAAGCTGCTGATCTTGCAGTTGATGGCAGTTCTGTGTGAAAGAGTGTCAGAGCAGATATTCACAAACATCACTCAGGTCAGTGGCTGCCACATTCTGGAGCCCAGGCTGGTGGTATTTGTCTATTTTGGTTACTTTACATTTTTCAAAAAATATTTTTAAAAAATGTTGCCCAGAGTGTGGTTTGATGACACCTGCATCAGTGTTAACTGGAATGTTCAACATGCACATTATTGAGCCCACACCAGACCAACTGAATCCAAAACTTTCGTAGGTCCTGGAAATCAGCAGGAGCCCTGGTGGTGCAGTGGTTAGGAGCTTAGCTGCTAACCAAAAGGTCGGCAGTTTGAAACCATCACCCATTCCTTGGAGACCATTTGGGGCAGTTCTACTCTGTCCTTTAGGGTTACTGTGAGTCAGAATCGACTCGATGGCAACACGTTGGTTTGGGAATCAGCATGTTTAACAAGCTTCTGAACTGGTTCTCATGCACATTAAAGTTGAAGAGCTGTTTTGAATATTTATATGTTATATCACAGTGGTTTCAACTTTTGGCACAAATAAAATTGCCTGGAAGTTTTTTCAAAATATAGATGCCCAGCCCACTCTTAGAAATTTTGATTCAGCCTTTCTGCATCAGAGCTCCATGGATGAGTCTAATGTGCATCACAAGTTGTGAATGGTTAGTAACTAAATTTGTGGGGGGAAAAATTACTAATGATACTAATTTCACCTTGAATTTTACAAGTCCTCTAACTTACAGCTTATCTCTGCAACATTCTGTGAATTTTTAAGATGTTTATTTTAAATGCTTTCAGGGTAGTGTAACTATGTGAATCAGTGCCTAGACTTTATTGCCTCAGACATTATTTTTACCAGCTTGTTTTTTTTTTTTTTTAAAAATAAGGAAATGCAAGTAATAAAGCAGAGGCAGTGCAGGCGGCATATTTTACCACTTTACCAGAATTAGTTGTTGCTTGGTTGGTAGATAGTCGGTTGTAAGATGGTATGATTGTCATGCTTAAATCTGATTCTCCAGTTCTTTGTATCATCCTCATTGTCATCTGCCTTCCCGTGTTGCTAAGCAGCATTTCACTGTAGCTCCTGCTGAGAAAATTTGCAGCTGTCTGTCAGCCCTGACTTATCTTGCCTGTTTAATGAGAATTATGTTCATGATTTCTTTTCTGGCCTCTGATTCCTTCAGTTCACTCACACTATGTTACTCGGTCGGGTGATTTGTTTCTACTGTGTTTATTTCAGTTCCCTGGAGACTTTTTCACCCAGACCTTATGTCTTTGTCTCAGGATGCCGGTTTGAAGGGGAAATGGTCTAAAAACTGATATGACTTGAGCTTTTGCACTTATCTCCCTTTACTCCTAATTAAGGAACAATGGTGTTAGGCGGGTACAAAAGTGATTTGCACCACTGAGTTATCCTTCAGTAAAGGTTAAAATGTATCAGGACAAAAAGAACATAAATACTAAATTGCATTTAGTAGTCTTACTGCCAGTGATGATGTTGATGTGTTATTCTGAAACATACATAGACATGGATAAAGCACATAAGTTATAAGTAATTTTGCTAATAAGGAGCCCTGATGGCACAATGGTTAAACGCTCAACTGCTAATTGAAAGGTTGACAGTTCAAACCCACCGAGTGGTTCCATGGGAAGAAGACCTGGTGATCTACTCCTATAAAGGATATAGCCTAGAAAACCCTATGGGACAGTTCTGCTATGTCACGTGAGGTTGCTATGAGTTGAAAATCTACTTGACGGCACCTAACAACAACAACAATTTTGCTAATATCATTAGGAATAAAGATTTTCCACATAAGAAAAAACTATACATATAAAACCAAAGAACTTAAGTAAAAAATCTATAACATTGAATTTCAGTTGGAAGTATTAGTATGAACTCAAGATTTATTTTTCTCTTTTTAAGAAATACATAGACACTAGCTCTGTCCACTGTCAATGCCTAAAAGCAATGACAGCTTATTAACAATGAGCTTTCCTAGTGCCCAGATTATAGTTTCTAAATACTATTTTCTACTAAAGGACACAAAGCTACTTGGAGTAGTGATTGATTTGAGGGCTGGGGCAGGGATTGTACAAAATTAATGGGGTCATGTCATTAGGACTCAGGAGCCAACTTAAAGGAATTCCTTCTGGCCAAAGACAGGGCAATTTGAGCATTAAAAAAAATAATGTCTACAATGGATTGAAACACATCAAAGAGATAAAAATCTGAATCAAGACAACAACATCCCCTCATAGTTCATCTTTGGAGGTTGCTAGGGCATCATCTCATTATTTTGTCACCAAAGGGAAAGAATCAAGCATTTATTTTCCCTGTAGGAATTATATTTCAGGGTAACCAAATAGTTAATGAGGAAAATTTTTCTTTGTGCAAGAATCACAGCTAAAAAATGCAGAAAGAAAACTAGAAAATTACATTTTGCAGCATTTAATGAAATAATGGATTTAGGCAACAATCAATGTCTGTTAAAACCATTAGATGGACTATTGACTAGATGAACTTTTTAATGGATGTCTTAGGCTGAAAACCCAAACTAACTGACTGATTTTTTTTTTCCCCAACATTTTGTTATGAAAAGTTTTAGACAGCAAACTTGGAAGAATTTTATAGTAAAGAACTAGATTCTACCATTAACATTTTATTAAACTTGCTTTATCACATATCTGTTCTTTATTCCATCCCTCTATTCATCTTATTCTTGGTGCATTTCAGTGTTAATGCAGATATCAGTATATGTCGCCCAAACTATTTCGGCGTGAACTGATTGATCTTAACAGTTAGTTATTCATTCATAATGTGTACAAACAGACATTATGTGCCTCCTGATGTAATGTAGTAGGAAGTATGTAGCACCACTTAGGAAGAATTTTTACCAAAAGAAAACAAAACAAAAACCCCTTGAACCTGAATCTAATCAAGGAAATTCAAGAGAGAGAGGAGCAAGTTAAACAATGCCACGAGGAAGCAATCAGCGGGAGTTCAGAATGTGGGAACTCCTGCAATGCAAATGACCCAGGTTCTTCATCAAATAGATGGCATAAAACAGGGGCAGCAGGGATTAAGAGACTTATCAACCAAATGCAATGTGTGGATCCCCATTCAAACAAACCAATTGTATAAAGCATTTTGCAATAACCAGGGAAAATTGAACATAGACTAGGTATTAGAAGATATTAAGGCATTCTTATTGGGTTTTCATGGTATGGTAGTTATGTTAAAAAAAAAAAAAAAAACTCCTGACTAATGGACCACAGCTACCACCCGGCTACCACCACTCACTGCTCTGACCGGGATCACAACAGAGGGTTCTGGACAGAGCTGGAGAAGTATGTAGAACAAAATTCTAACATACACAAAAAAAAACCAGATTTACTGGCCTGAAAGAGACTAGAGAAACCCCGAGAGTAGGGCCCCCAGACACCCTTTCAGCTCAGTGGTGAAGTCAACTCTGCCTTGGAGAGGGAACAAATTAACAAACGGGAAAAGTAATCTGCCGGCTCCCCTAAGCCAGAAACTCAGGGTAGGCACAGCTCCTTTGCCTAGGCACAGGCATAAGGGGTCCATGGACTTTGAGTGCCTTTCCCCCTGCAGAGACTTGTATGGGCCCATTTCAGCAGCATAGGCCCTCATTACCACAGTACAACAGGGTATTTACCTGAATTCTAACTTCAGCTGTTTCACCTGTGAAGTGGCAGGTTTGTGACATTTGACACTGCTCTGCCCATTAAGCAGGGTCTTCATCTACCCACATCAGGGGCCTGAGGACTGGTGGCTCCATCCATGCCACCTAGCCACCTGCGACAGGGGCCCAAGAATAAGTGATACCCCTCAGTCCTTACAGCCAACAGCATTGAGTGCTCATAGTCCGGCTGCAAAACCTACCCACCTACGTACTGTAGGGAACAGGGACATGCTTTCCTCCTGGACACTTGGGGGTGGCCGTCGGCCCCCTGCCTTACTCAGCATATGACCCTCTGCTGCAGCCAGATGCCTGTGCCTACACCAATCCCTCATGCCTGTCTAGGACTGTAGGTGAGAGCCTGCACCACACACTTGGTGGCCAACTACCTGGACACCTGAGCTGAATCCATACAGGAGGAGTGGGTGGACTCCTGGGTTCACATACTTAGTGGCAGTTCTGGCCACCTGGTGGCAGGACGTTGGAGCTTCAGGGGCACTGGTGATCGGGCTAGCTCACATGAGCAGCTTATTTGGGCATATCAAAACAAAATAAAACAAGAAGCTAGGACACAGTAAGCAAACATTAAATAAATAACTTATTGATGGCTTGGAGACAACAGTCAATATCAAATCACATAAAGAGGCAGACCATGATGGCTTCAGCAAGCTCCCAAAATAAAGAATCAAGAAAGTTTCCGAAGGAAGAGAATTTCTTGGAATTACCAGAGGCAGAATACAAAAGATTAATAAGCAGAACTCTTCAAGAGATCAGGAAGGAAATTAGGCAAAACGCAGACCATGCAATACAGGAACTTAAGAAGATTAGAGAAGAACATAATGACAAATTTAACAGGCTGCAAGAATCCATAGAGAGACAGCAATGAGAAATCCAGAAGATTAACAATAAAATTTCAGAATTAGACAACTCGATAGAAAGTCATAGGAGCAGAATTGAGGCAATGGAAGTCAGAGTTAGTGAGATTGAAGATAAAGCACTTGACACCAGCTTATATGAGGAAAAATCAGATAAAAGGATTTAAAAAAATGAAACCCTAAGAATTATGTGGAACTCTATCAAGAAGAATAACCTATGAGTGATTGGAGTACCAGAAGGGGGCGGGGGGGTGGGGGATAACAGAAAATACAGATAGAATTGTTGAAGATTTATTGGCAGAAAACTTCCCTGATATTGTAAAGAAGGAGTTGAATTTAGAGCATAAAACAAATTTAAAGGCTCTACAAGATTCAGTAGACTCCTGGATTCCTCCCTCAACTTTGACAACCATGTCTCCTCCGCATCAAAAGACTGGAGGTTTGTTCTTGAGAGAGGTTGAACTCAAGGGACTGTGAACTTGAGTGGGAGTAGCAAATTCAACAGGTAGGTTAAGTTGAAGTCTACACACTCAACAGTGAGGCCTCCAACCCTCTTTTTCTACTCAGTTGCGCGAATGTTGACAGCAGGTTTATCCATCCCCATAGGATTACTGTGAGGATTAAATGAATGAGTGTAGTGTTCAGAATGGTGCCTGGTAAATAGTAAATGCTTGATATTATTATTAAATTAAACAGCTAAATAACTAAAAGTGGTTACCTCTGTAGGGCCAGAATCAGATGGGTGAGAAGTAGGGTAGGACGCTGCTATTTTTTATTATGAGCTTTCAGAGAGTATTGAGCTCTTTAAATTATGTACCTTTCCAAAAATTTTTGAGTAAAAAATAAAAGCCTCTCCTCCCTCTCTGCAAAATATATAAATGCTAGAACTAGCTTCAGTCACATACCTCTCTGAGCAGCTGGCAAAAAAACAAAACAAAACAAAAACAAACCCGCTGCCGTCGAGTGGATTCCGACTCATAACAACCCTATAGGACAGAGTAGAACTGCCCCATAGTGTTTCCAGGGAGCACCTGGTGGATTTGAACTGCCGACCTTTTGGTTAGCAGCAATAGCTCATAACCACTATGCCACCGGGGTTTCTGAGTGGTTGGCAGTACCACTAAAATCACAGGAAATGAGTAACAGAAAGGAGCTGTTGTCCACATTAGGTAGAGGTACAGTGCTTGTGTTGTTACAAGAAGGAAGTGTGGGGAAAGGTACTTCATAAATGACATTAAAAGCTGACATCACATCAGTTAACAGCTCCCCCCCTCCTTTGTTTTTAGCATACACACAAACATGAATAGTTTCTTTCTTAACAAAAACGAGGTCGTAACTACTTGCATTGCAACTTTTTTTTTTATATTGCGGAGAGGAACTTAGAAAAAGTTGGAAGGCTAGATCATTCTGTTTCATTAATTTAACAATACATGTACTGAAAGAGAAGCTTAATACAAATAAGGAATGCTTTAGAAAACTCTTCAGAGGCAAAGTAGGTGGCCAAAGATGGTAGGTGCAGCAGTTTCTCTAGGAAATTAACAGGTGTCCTTAACTTCTAGTATCGATAGTCTTAGGGCTAGAGAGGGTTGTGAAAGTTGCCATAACCAGCATTGTTCATTTTAGTAAATGGAACTTTTAATAACCTTTTTAGTTTCCTGCCTTCCTCCAAAAGACAAGCGTTAACAAGCCATTTTCCTGACTTTAAGCTTGTAATAAGGATTCTTGCACAGCATGTGATTTGTCCAGAGAGTTAAACATGCAAGCTTACGTGATATTTAGAGGCTTATTATGTACCTATCTTAGCCTTCCCATTTTCAAAATAATTTCTCCCTTTTGAGCCGTTAATCCTAAATATGGGTATGTGTGTGTGCATGCGCACGTTGTCTTTTATTCAAAGGTGTTTCTGCTTAAGATGATTAATCCAAGTGCAGTTAAAATGATGTTGACCAAATTAATTTCATTTAAAGCTCAGTTGTAGGCGAAATGCTATGTAAAGTCTTGTATATGAATAATTGTAATCCTTTAAAAATATTTGATACTTAAAAAATGACTCGGAATCATTTGTACAGATTGTTTGAGGACATTGACTTCTATATAAAATTGAACACCTCCCTCATTCTTTGTTTACTAGAATTAATCAAAATTGGGGGAAAAGTCCCCAAGGAGGAAACCTCCTTAGAAGAAGCAGATATAGGACCTTAAGTCTCAGATTCTTCATCTGAAAATGAGGATAATAGTATCTACTTCATAAAATTGATATGAGATATAAACGAGATTGTGCATGTAAAACACTTAGCGCTATACCTGCTACACAGCAGCAGTTGTTCTTTTTTTTTTAATTGTTGTAGTTTAAGTGAAAGTTTACAATTCAAGTTAGTCTCTCATACAAATATTTATACATACATTGTTATGTGACCCTCATTGCTCTCCCTATACTGTGACAGCACACTCCTGCTTTCCAGCCCAGATTTCCCATGTCTATTCAACCAGCTCCTGACTCTCTCTGCCTTCTCTTCTCACCTCCGGACAGAAGCTGCTGATTTAGTCTCATGTACCTACTTGAGCTAAGAAGCACACTCCCCCAAGTATCATCTTATGTCCCACAGTCTAGTCCAATCTTTGTCTGAAGAGTTGGCCTTGGGAACTGTTTTAGTTCTGGGTTGGCAGAGAGTCCGGGGGCCGTGCTTTCTGGGGTTCCTCCAATCTCAGTCAGACCATGAAGTCTGGTCTTTTTACTAGAATTTGAATTCTGCATCCCACCCCTCCCAGCAGCAATTATTCTTGATGGTTGTTGATATCATGATGTTGATGAGGAAGAGGATGAGGATGTTGACATAGATGTAAGAAGAATTTTGAGATTTTTTTTTTTCCTCCTTGCTGATTCTAAATTCTGTTTCTATGGTAGGTGGTGGACTTTGTAGCAGCAACTTTGCAGAGAGCATGTGCAAGCTTGGCCCATCAGGCAGAGAGCACTGTGGAATCGCAGACGTTAAGCATGTCCATGGGGCTGGTGGCTGTCATGCTGGGAGGAGCTGTTCAGGTGAGTCACAGACATGAGCCAAACTTGAATGGAAGGAAAAGAGAAGAGAAAATCTGTTGCTTCCCTTTCATATTCTTGTGAGGAGTAAGAATGGGCATTGCACATTGGAGAACCACGATAACAAGTCAGACTGTTAATGAAAATTCTCTCCATAGTAGAGGACAAGAAAATTGTACCACTTCTAATTGACCACCTGCACAGACTTCACCATCAGAAGTGTGGAGCCCTTTCTGACCTGGCACCAACTTGGTTTATAACTTGTGTTTTGCATCAGTGGATGAGCACTAGATTCTCTGGTCATCACTGCAGTGGCTCTCCAAAACTCAGCCTTTGTCCCTACCACTGTAGTCTGGGGAAAACCTTAGTAACCTGCTGGTTGCTTGGGGCTCCATTTTAGTACAGCGTTCATTTTTCAACCCATATCATGTAGCATGTTAAAGCTTTGTTTCCAGCCACTTCTAAAGTGTGTGTTCCTTTTATATACTTAGTTCATAATTTTAAAAATTTATTCAATTAAAAAATATTTATCATGTCCTTGCTATGTGCTATACTGTGCTAAGGTGCTAGGAATACAGTAGCGGACAAGGTAGATATGGTCCCTGCTGTCATGAAGCTTACAGTTCAGTAAGGGAGTCAGACATTAAATAACTATGCAAAAATATATTTACAGTTGAATGAAGTGCCTCAGAGGAGAAGTGGAGGGTACCAAGAGAACATCTAACTTAGGTTGGGAACGTTTCCACTGAGGAAGTGTTTAAGTTTAAGCTAAGAGTTTGAAGGATGAATAGGAGTTTGGGGTTGGAGGAGGGGATAGGGTATAGTTTAATTAATATTATAGAGAGAGAGCAGAAGGAAGAGTAGTGCCAGACAACGTGGAAAGATAGGCAAGGGCCACGTCATGCATGTGTGTGTGACTGGTTAATTACATACTACGTTAAGTTAGGAGACTACAAGAAAGCAGAATAAGTTTAGTACCAAACCAGTTGCTGTTGAGTCGATTCTGACTCATGGCGACCCCACATGTATAAGAGTAGAAATGTGCTCCATAGGGTTTCCAATGGCTGATATTTTGGAAGTAGCTCACCAGGCCTTTCTTCTGAAGCTTAGTGCAAATAGTATTACATCTGACCTCAAGTCAGACTGGTTGTAACCCTTAGCAATCAGTAGCAAACCCTCTGGGAATAGATTTGGTTTTGAATTTAAGGATTCACGTCTGATTCTGATTGTTGATATATTAGAATTTGCCTCTCTCTAGCCTGTCATTAAAGGGAATAAGAATTTTATCTGGACCTGTTAATGCCCATTTCTTGGTCGAGTTGCTTAACACTCTATATTTTGGGTTTGGTTCAGTTTCTGGAACCATATTATGCCCCTGCTGTTAGAACTACAACTTTAATATTGAGGGAGGCTCAGAGATAGAATAGTTCTTCTTAAGTTGTATTGTTATTGGATTTAGTTGGACTGATTGAATTTTGTTTTTCTGGTTTAGTATTAATTTGTATAATCTTTTGTTTGCATGAATTGAGTGTGCTTTTTTGCGCTCTCTTTTATCGTTTAACGTTTATAATCTCAAACCACATCCCAAGTGGAAAATAGATCACAGAAATCTATATTTCCCTCTTTAAAAGCCCATTTTTGGGGGCCTAACTATATAAATGGGAGCCCTGGTGGTGCAGTGGTTAAGCTCTCGGCTGCTAACCAAAAGGTCAGTGATTTGAACCCACCAGCCGCTCCTCAGGAGAAAGCTGTGGCAGTCTACTTCCGTAAAGATATACAGCCTTGGAAACACTGTGGGCAGTTCTACTCTGTCCTTTAGGGTCGCTGTGAGTCGGGATCGAACCGACGGCAATGGGTTTGTTGTTTTTGGAACTGTATAAATTAGTCATGTTGTAAGAGAGACTTACCTGACTGAAGCAAATATATTTTTCCTTGCCTGTCCCTGCCCTTTAGTGAGCCATCCTGACTCACTGATTACATCCTGGATTCCTCTGACTTTGCAGTTCCTTAAATGAACATACAGGTCACCCATATACTTTTGCCCCAGATCTATTAATTTTTTTTTCTGTTTGATTCATGGATTTATATGTGTCTTCTACAGTAATACTGGGTTTTCTATCTTTGTACTGGGGGAAAAAATCATGATTCTGAATTATGTTTACAGATGATTACTATTATCAGACTAGGGTCTTTGCTTTAGAGTCCAGAAGATTATACTGCACCCATTCCCTATTAGGATTTGTTGTTTTGGCTAAAAAGAGAATCTAACACCATTTGAACCTTTTTTTCTTTTCCTTTCTAATTTGTGTAATTAAGGTGATTATTAGAACATCGTGTCTGGGAAGAGAAGCTAATTTGGAGAAAGTGTAGGTTTAAGACTGCTAACAAGACTACTGTAATTCCGACCTCTTTTCTAAATTTCAGGGTTGGTTATCAGTAAAAACATTATGTTGGTAACTCTTCCCTGTCCCTTCAGGATGCAGTTTCTGCATGATGTTCCAGGGCCCATTGGATCCTCCAAAGCAGTGCTGCACAAAGCTGACCAGGCCATTCTAGACCTTCTTAAGGAAGAAGAAACAAAAACACATTGCTTGCAGGAGGCAGTGGAGCCTATGAGTTAAAAGCTGGGCTCTGAATCTTTAAATCTAGACTCTCTTATTTGCTAGGTTATGTCCTTGGGCAATTTACTTAACCCCACTCCTCAGTTTCCTCATTAAAAACAAAACAAAACAAAACAAAAAAACTAGCACCTTCCTTATGTGATTGTTGTAAGGATAAGTGAAATAGTATGGGAAAAACATTTAGTACTATGCCTGACACATGGAAGGCACTTAATAATTGTTAGACTTTTGTTATTTTGATTACTATTATTATAACCTCTGGCCCCTGCTAAGTGGTTAAGGCTAATCCAATCAACTAATGTGTTGCCAGCATGATGCATTTTTGTTTCAATTACATATTTAAATCAAAGATTTATTGTGTACCTATTATGAGGTAGGCATGATGTGTCCTAGAGAATACAAAGATACGGTCCTTGCCCCAATAGTTGCAGTGTAGTATGCCATAAACGCAGTAATAAAGGTATATACGAGGTACATTGTTAGCACAAAGGAGAACATTATCTCCTCTGCTTGGGTTGGTCTGAGAATAAGTAATAACAACAGCAACATATTGTTAATGTTTCCTGAAGGCTTACTAAATACCTGGCCTTATGATAGGGAAATGACATGTATTAGCTCAGTTAGTGTTCATAACTGTACTGTTATCAGCCCCATTTTACAGATGAAAATAGTAGTACAGACAGGCTAAGTAACTTGCCTAAAATCATCCAGCTAGTTAATGGAGATTAACAACATATATACAATAAAGTGCACAAATTCTAAGAGTATAGCTGGATTCATGTTAATAAATATATACACTCATGTATCCACCCAGATCAAGATTAAAGCATTTCTAGTACCCCAGAAGTCTGCCTCTGTCCCTTCCCAGTCAATGTCCATTGTTCCCCCAAAAGATAAACATCATTCTGACTCTGTCACCATAGATTAATTTTGAACTTCATATGGATGGAATCATACCATATGTGCTCTTTTATGTCTGGCTTCTATTATTCAACAATATTTTGTGAGATTCATCCATGTTATTATATGTAACACTTGTTCATTCTTTCTCATTCATGTATAGCGTTCTATTATATAAATATACTACAGTTTAATTCTGATAAATTATTACTTTTAAAAGATACATGTTTCTATATCTTATGTGTATCTTTATATACAGCTCATTTTAAAACAGGGCATACTGTATGCTGACTTAGAGCAGAAGTAAATATCCCACTTATATATAAATTCAGCAACATTATATAAATAAAAACCTAAGCATATAATAAGTCAGCCAAATATTTGAGGAAACATAGTTGATGTACAAAAATGAGAATAAAAAGAATAAATGTAACTATTTATCAGCATTGGGAATTTTTAGATCAGAGTTTTATTGCTAGAAGAAACTCTGGGTTCTTCTAAAATAGTGATCTCACTGGAGCAGGGTAAGGCAGGTTACAGTATATATACCCCTTAGAGGAGCTTATTAAAATCTCATGAGGGGCCTTTTCAGTGTACATGTGCTCTCATCTCACTATCACCCCAATCTGATAGGCCTCCCTTAGAGGGCATGCTCTCTGTCACCACTACCGTCAGTCTCTGCCCTAACAGTCCAATCCCCATTTCTTAAATGAATTTGAAAACTTGCAGAAATTTAGGACAACTCACAACCTAACTGGTTTGCTCCTGGCACTCCTGAAAGGAATCAGAGACGTGGGCTGATACAGCTCTGCTCGGAGCGCTGGTAGCACAGTGGTTAAGCATTCAGATGCTAACCAAAAGGTTGGCAGTTCAAATCCACTATCCGCTCCTTGGAAACCCTATGGGGCAGTTCTGCTCTGTCCTGTAGGGTCGCTGTGAGTTGCAATTGATTCGACAGCAACGAGTTTGGGTTTTGTTTTTGGTTATGGCTCTGCTCATTCCCTGAAGCATTCCAGAAACTGGATGGGAGGCAGCCAGACAAAGGTATCTGTCACCCACTTGCAGCTACTCCTTTAGGCCTTAGGGCTTTTACACTGAATTCTGAGATCTGGATATGAGATCTGCGTTGAGAAGTAGTGACAGCAGAAAGAGTAGAAACGAGGCCTGTATGGTCAATTCTCAATTTTTATAGTGGTCCTCGGTGACACTTGGAAAATAATTTACCACTTAGTGCTTCAATTTTCTCATCTACCATCTAAGTGATACCTCAAAAGTGATTTTGAACATTTATGAACAAATAGTTGGCACCTGTAGTCTTAGGCTTTCTTGATTATTCTCACAGTGGGAAATCTGTAGGCTTATGAAACTGAAAGAATGTGTGGCTTAAATGCCTTATAAACTGTTTGATTAAGAATCCATCTGCCTGCCCATGGTGTTTAGACAAGTTGTCCGGTTGAATAATATAAGTCCCACCCCACAATGACTAAAAAGTTTGAAAACAGGAAGAAAATTTTTTTTTTTTTTTGGAAGAAATTGTTGTATATAGTAGAAATAAAAAAAGAAACCACAAAGACTGTAGATAATCCCATTTCAGATACTTAAAAAACAAAGGGCCACCACACTACCAGGCACTGAATGAAACTTTAGCATAATGGTAATAGTAGCAAAAATATTCTAAAATGTATTTTCCATTGACCTTTTTCTTAGAACATATATCTTTAATCTAGACATATTCTCTTCTCCCCTTAAGATATAGTAACATCAGAATGGTCAGTTGTTTTACACATAAAGATAAACCAACATGTTGGGAAGCTAGAAGTTCTACCTTACACTGATTTTGCATTTGTTTCAGATTGTGTAAACAGAAATCTGAGGGGAGTGTGTGGTGAGATTCAGCAGGTACAAACCTAATGTATACCTCAAGTTTTCATTTACTTGGGAGGAGAGTGATGGGGAAAGCAGCCAGTAACAATTCTGTAGATTTATAGTGTCAAATGAGAACATTATATAGGAACTAAGAAAACAGTTGGTTAATTGTGTGGTTGGCTGGTTAATTAAGTGAATGGTTAAGTAATAAATGTCCTACCTTGTTCTAAAAAGGATTTGAGACCCCTAAGGTTTTCAAATTTCAGGGCCTCAAGAAGCCTCGTAGAATACTTCTCCAGTATTTTCACACAGGAAAGGATTACCACTGATTCTTGCCTCTCTATTGGTTTCACATGCACCTTAGTAAGGCATGTAACATTGTTAGAGCAGTCCTTTGTTAGAGAATAAAATCTTATGTAATTTTCACTCTCACGTTCTAGGAGAAATTCCCTCTGCCAATTATCATTCCAATCCCTTCTAGACCTAAGGTGCCCTTGTGTGCTGACCAGCCACTTTAGATCATGTAGTTTAGAACGGCTTTATTTATTCAGTTGAGACAGTGTAGAGTGATAGGTGCAAGTGTGGACTCTGGAGCCAGACTTCTTAAGTTCTTGTCTTACCATCTTACAGTTGTGTGACCTTGGCATGTTATTTAACAGTTCTCTGCCTCAGTTTCCCCTTGTTCAAAATGTGGATAATAATAGTGACTGTATCATCGGGATATGAGTGTGAGTGAGAAACCCTGGTGGCGTAGTGGTTAAGAGTTCAGCTGTTAACCAAAAGGTCAGCAGTTCGAATCTACCAGGTGCTCCTTGGAAACCCTATGGGGCAGTTCTGCTCTGTCCTATAGGGTTGCTATGAGTTGGAATTGACTCGACAGCAACAGGTTTTTGAGTTTGAGTGAGTGAGTGTGTTCTCTTAGAAAAGTGACTGGACATGGTAAGTATTCAATAAACGTTAGCTATAGCTATTCAGCAGATACTGAGTGCTAACCCAGTGAAGTCGATTCCAATCCATGGCAATCCCATATGTGTCAGAGTAGAACCGTGCCCCACAGAGTTTTCAGAGGCAAAATTTTCCATAGTAGATCACCAGGCCTTTCTTGTAAGATGTTTTTGGGTAGACTTGAACCTCCAGCCTTTCAGTTAGCAGCCAAGAGCGTTAACCGTTTGCACCACCCATGGACTCCTATTGAATGCTAGAATAACTCAGGCTGTGAGCTCAGATTCCACCATGAGCAAGGTTTGCTCCTTGCCCGTTTTACTTAGAATACGCGTATGTTTCCTTGTGCTCAGGTCATATTAACATGGTTTATGTTAACTTGGATTTGACATTTTTTATTTTACTCTGTAGTTGAAGTCAAGTGATTTTGCTGTCCTGAAGCAATTGCTGCCTCTGCTGGAGAAGGTCTCCAACACATATCCTGACCCTGTCATCCAAGAACTCGCTGTTGATCTCCGCATCACCATTGCTACCCATGGAGCCTTTCCCACCAAGGCTGTTGCTGTGGCTGCCGCCCAAAGTACCCTGAACAAAAGAGATTCAGAAGGGAAAATAGAAGAACAGCAACAAACCAATTATAAAAGATTCACTGATGTAGCTAATAGCCACCTCGAACAACAGCAAAGCAATGAGAAATCCAACCACCAAACCGGCCTGAAATCTAATAATACTCCGCTCATTCCTCAGGAGGTGAATGAACCGAGTACTACTACAAGCCAGAAATCTGGAAGCATAACCATAGAAGAGCTTCAGGAGGTTCTTTTATCAGCTTATGATCCTCAAATTCCAACACGGGCAGCTGCTCTGAGAACTCTTTCTTATTGGATAGAGCAGAGAGAAGCAAAGGCCCTTGAGATGCAAGAGAAGCTTCTCAAGGTAAGTAGTACATCCTGTAAAAACACATGTGCACAGGGTGGGGCAGCTTTCAAGAAGCATTAATTCAGCTCAAGTATTTTTGGAGCCTTGACTGTGTGGCATGTCAGGCGCTGTGCTGGACTACCCTCAAGGAACATGTAATGATTCTGAGGAGGCAAGACTTAGACACAGGAAAGACTTCGATAACCATATTAGACTATTCAGTTGAACATGAGTGCCAAAATTTAGATGGAAAAGAAATGCTATGGACAGTCAGGAAAAGGAGAGAGTTGAAATCTTCTGGAGGAAGTAGATCTTGACATGGCCTTAACAAACTGGTGAAGTTTGAGCAGATGAAAGAAAGGGGGATGGAACAGCCTGAGCAAGTTCCCAGAGATGAGAAAGTACCTTTTGTGGTAAATAGGTCCACTTTCAACAGTATGACATGGCCCCGAAAATCTCCCTGTTTTCTCTGGGCCCTGTTTTGAGGGGCATTGGGCAGAAATGGAGATTGCTGTCTCTCCTCCCTCCATCACCAGTGAAAAAGCCGTTCTTTAAATTGTACATTTATGTGGGGGAATATATATGCTTACTTGGGGATGTTTTTCCTTTGGTAGAAACTGTTCTGATCACATTATGGATTAGAGATTAAGGATAAGGGGTCTAGAGATGACTGCCTGGGATCAAATTCCAGATCTATTTCTTGTGCAAATCATTTAATTTCTGAGCCTCAATTTCTACATCTGTATAGTGAGGATAATAATAGGGCCTATTTTATGTTGAAAGATTTAAAATGAAGTAGTCCATGTAAAGCACTAATTATAGCAATAAGCACATAATGAGCATCTAATAAAGGTTAGCTGTCTTTATGATTAAGGAGCCTTGGTAACACAGTGGTTAAAGTGCTTGGCTGCTAACCAAAAGGTCAGCATTTTGAACCCACCAGCTGCTCTGTGGGACAAAGATGTGGTAGTTAGCTTCCATAAGGATTGACAGCCTTGGAAACCCTATGGAGCAGTTCTATTCTGTCCTTACAGGATCACGATGAGTCAGAATTAACTCGATGGCAATGGGTTAGGGTCTTTATTATTATTTCTCCCATATGCTTTAGCAATTAGATTAAGTATTATAATTCTGATTGAAAAATTTTATTTTTAGTAGCTAAAGTATTAGAATCAATTACTGTTGTTAATGAGCCAGACCTCATACGTTACAGAAATTGCCTCTAATTCTCACAGCAATGGCAATATAGAGATTATTCCATTTTACAGATGAGAAAACTGAGGCACGGAATGTGCCAGGAATTTGCTGCCATTGAATTGTCTCTGAAAACCTAAAATTATATATCGCCTTCGAGTAATCATGAAAAATATTCCTTCATACACGTATTTAGATGGTCAGTGCTATGAATCATGTGTGACGCGCTCGTAAGCTTCCTACCCCTTCCAACCTGGCCATTCTCCTGGCTGAACTAATCTTAGGCTCTCCCTGAGACCAGCAGCAACAAGTTGATAGCAAGAATTGCTGTGCCAGCAAAGGATATGGCATTATATGTGGAGTGGGCACCCCTGTCTTCCCCTGGACACCAAACAGAAAGAAGAAACATGGGCACAGGCCACTGTCTTTCTCTGGCCTTTGTGTTAGGGCCTAAACCTCACATGTAATTGTAGACCCCTCTAGATAAGCAGTACCCACTGAAGTTGACATACCCTGGTGGATCCCTAAATTATGAGATATATTGACAGTAATTTCTTACTAATGTTAATTAGAGTGCTGAAATTTGCAAAAGATTTTTAAAAATAAATGAGAACAGATTAAAGGTTATCCTGATAATAACACCTCTTCTCTCATTTGCATTTCTATATGCTTTCTTGAGTGGAAGAGAAAAGGATCAAATTATAGTAAATATGACATCGGTTGCACATAACCCAAAACCTTGCCTTTGGTGTGCCATGGCCTATAGTCTGTCTTGTGGGATGTTGGGAATTTTGTCCACCATTGGCTGTAGTGGAAGACATGTTGATGATTGTTCTTCCAGATACTGGTTTCCATGCCTGCAGCTGGTGAATATTAATTCAGGAAGTATCTCTCCCTAATATAATCCTATATTATCTATTATTAAAAAAAAAAAAAAAAAAGGAGGGGGGGTGGACTTCAAGAATATATACTGTTTTTCCCACAAGACTCTTAAGTCACGCCAGTGTCTAGCTAAGACAAGAAGAAAAGCATTTACTCTTTTGAGACTGCTAAAAAGGGTTTCTTAAATCTTGTTCGCTCTTTGTGAATCATATCACTGCTATATTTTGTGGTTCCAGATATTCTTGGAGAACTTGGAGCATGAAGACACCTTTGTATATCTGTCTGCTATTCAGGGTAAGTTAGTCCTGGTTAAAGGACTTCAAGTCTGTGGACCAAAGCTTTATATATGTTTGCAAAACTAACCTAAATCCAGCAAGATTGTGGTCATTTTGTCCATCTTCCTGACTCCTAACTGGGACTGGCTTTAAATCTTAATAATAATATTCCTGGAAGGTTCCCAAGGGATCCGTATAGAATTTCAGTGTCTCGTAATGATGAGGAAGACTTTTTCATGTTTACTTATCATTCTGTAGATTAAATCACATTTCCTTTAATTCAAGGAGGTAAAAATGGCTCACGTATGAGCTCTCTTTACATTATTCCTTATGTACTTGCCTAGTGTCAGTATGCACCGTTGCTCTCTCTTTAAGCTGAAAGAATCTCAAAGCACTTAATATTTCTTCATCAAAAAGTTTTTGCAATGATTTTGTTTCACTTTTGTGATTCTCCGTTATTCTCTGTATCTCCATTAATTCCTGAATTCCAAATCTAATAGGGGCCTCATGAAAAGGGATATAGAAAGATACAAAAAGTGAGAAGCAGACATACAAAAAGGTGAGAAACGGGCTTGATGATGTCAGAATTAACTCACAGTTTCTTTTGGCTTCATCAGTGTAGTGTAAGGTTGAGAGCTAGGGCTCTGGATTCAGACTACCTGGGTACACATCCCCATTTCTTCACTTCTCAGATGGGTAAACTTTGGCATGTTACTTAATTCCTCTGGGCTTCAATTTCCTTACTTGTACAAAGGAGGCTGAATGGAAACATACATTGGTACAACCACTTTGGAAAACAGTCTGGCAGTTCCTCTAAAAGATAAACTTAGAGTTACCATTTGGCTCAGCAGTTCCACTCCTGGGTATATACCTAAGAGAAATGAAAACATATATCTACATAAAAACTTGTACATGAATATTCACTGCAGCATTATTCATAGAAGCCATAAGGTGGAAACAACCCAAATGTCCGTCAACTGATGAATGGATAAACAAAATGTAGTATATCTACATAATGGATTATTATTCAGCCATAAAAAGGAATGAAGTACTGATACATGCTACAACGTGGATGAACATTGAAAACATTATGCTAAGTGAAAGAAGCCTGAGGTAAAAGACTATATATTATATATTTCCATTTACATGAAATGTCCAGAATAGGCAAATCCATAGAGACACAACCCCTTGGACCTCAGGCCTGACCTGCACTGGACATTCCAGTAGGCGCTGGCTCACTGCTAAAGCCAAAGGCTACCAACCCATTCTAAGGACCAGCTGGCATGGGTGTGGGCAGCTAGAGCTCTTGGGCTACTCTAACTCAGCCACTTTTTTACTGACAGCCTTGGGGAAAGCATTCAACATTTTCCCTTGTTGCTTAGTGTCCTATATAAAATGGAATCATCATTTCATTTGCTCAGAAGAGTTTTGATTAGATTTAAATAGCTTAAAACACTAATCATTTATTATTACTCATCCGTCTCTAGACCAGTTGGGGTTCAGCTGATCTAGACTGGGCTTGGCTGGGCAGCTCTGCTTCTCCTTGTAGATCTGTGGGGGCTCTGCTGCACATGTTCCTGATAATTCCTGGACTGGTGGTCAGGGTATGTTCTTCTCACAGTGATGGCAGAAGTGCAAGAGAGCAAGAATAAACTAAAGGGGCCTCTTCAGGCCTAAGCTTGGAACTGGCATCCTGTCACTACTACCTCATTCTGTTGGCTAAAGCAAGTTATGTGGCTGAACCTAAAAGTCAAGGGGCAGAGAAATAAACTCTGTTCCTTTAGTGGAATAAACTGCCATATCACATAGCAAAGGACATGGATGCAGAGAGGAGTGAAGAATTGAAGCCAGTAATGCAGTCCTCCACACTGATGTGTTCTGTTACCTTCCAATGGCAAGATTCTCTATGAGCATAAAGTCACCTGCAGGTCCTCATCAGTTAGTTATTTCTTGGTATACAGACACAGTAGTTGAAGCATAAGAGAGAGTGTGGAGGAAAAAGAGATGGTGTAGAGTGACATAATCAGAGATGAAGGCCTGAGCCTTGGAATTCATTCTTTATTCAGCAAACATTTATTGTACACCTACTATATACAGGGAAACCCTGGTGTTGTAGTGGTTAAGAGCTACAGCTGCTAACCAAAAGGTTGGCAGTTCAAATCCACCAGGCATTCTTTGGAAACTCTATGGAGCAGCAGTTCTACTCTGTCCTGTCAGGTCGCTACGAGTCGCAGTCGACTCGACGGCAGCAGGTTTGGTTTTTTTGGGTGTGGTACTATATACAGAATACTTTAGGTTAACTGTGAGTTATGTTAAAAAGGAGCATGGTGGTGCAGTGGTTAAAGCGCTTGGATGCTAACCGAAAGGTGGGAGGTTTGAACCTACCTGCTGCTCCATGGGAGAAAGATGTGGCAGTCTGCTCTTGTAAAGATGTACAGCCTTGGAAATGCTTTAGGGTAGTTCTCCTGTCACTATGAGTTAGAAATGACTCAATGGCAATGGGTTTGTTTTTTTTTTGGTTTGTCTTGTTAAAAACTAAAAAGCGAATTCTTCAATGGAGATGAAAGGATCACCCAAAGAGGTAAAAGGACAGCTAGGTGAGAGCAGAGGCCAAAAGAGTAGAAGATTTCAAGAGAGAAAGTAATCACTTGTGGCTCAGAGGTCAAAAAGGGCAGGAATAAAAGCCTGGGGGCTCCATAGGCCTTAGGAGGCCTCGTGACAATGAATGCTTTTTATAGAAACCAAATAAATCAATGAAACAAGAATCTAAAATGCCTGTAATTAATAAGTCTCAGAAAGCTGGTCATCCTGTACTTTTCTCGAGAAAGTATAATTCTGGTAAGGAGATGTTTCTCATTGACTTTTTTTTAGGACCAGGTTTTCGGGAAGTAGTGGCATGTCATTCTAATGTGGCAGCATTGCTCTGTGGAATAAGCTTTCCAGCTGATTAACCCATTGAGCTTATTAACCCCTAGGGTCTGCTATAAAAATCACAACCCTGGGTTATATTTGCTTTTATTAATTTTAATTGGTGTGCTAATCATTTTGTAGCTAATTTGGTGATAAACATGCGAGCTAGACGTGTAATTTTTGTTTTCTGCTCCCTAAGATGGACAAGTTTGAATTAATTGATGTCTTTGGTGTTTGTAACATGCACTTAAAGACCAAGGCCATAGGTGACTTTTCCATTAAGAAAGGAGCTGAACTTTCCCATCTAACATTGCCAGTGTAGTTCTCCCCAAGGCTATAGCAAGCCAGGAGACAAGCTGTTCTGGAGTTCCAGTCAGTAACACCAGCCCGCTAGTAGATGTCATGTAGTACGAGAGAGACAGAGAGACAGAGAGAGAGACAGAGAGAGAGAGAGAGTGTGTGTGTGTGTGTGTGTGTGTGTACGTGTGTTTAAAGTTTTCCTTTTTCTGGTGAGGGGTGACAGTGCACAATACTGGGGAAGCCAGCACGGCTTGTGCAAGGCAGGGTCATTAAAAAATAAAATTAAAGTTTTCCTTTTTCTAGGCTGCCTGTGTGGTTCCATGTGAAAGTTAAAATGTACCTTTTGCTTAATTTATTAATATTTTGAATTTCTTTTGTAATTTGTCACCAACTTTGTCAGCAGTCTAGGCAGAGGGCAGTGGGAAATTCGGTAAACTCATTCATTCAACAAATATTTATTGATGGCTGATTTAGGAATTTCTGGTGCATGTATTACCTGTCCATCACATAGCAATAACTGCCAGGAAGTAAATACAATTTGAGAACTAAATCCTCTATGTAAAAACAGCTTGGGTGCGAGGTCTGATCCCCTCTAACTTCACAAGGGGGAAGGAGAACCAAGATCAACAGCCCAAGGCTGATTCCTATAGACGGGTTAGACGTGTCTCCTCTCTCCGCCATCTTTACCAGTTCTGACACCAACCGTCCCTCCCACAGTGCTCTCTACTTCTCTGCTGGGTTCGATAATTCATTGCAGTGTTCACACAGAACCCACAGACCATACTCAAAATTGTGGGGTTTATTAGGGCAGTAACAGTTACAATTCAGGCTCAAGAACTCAGGATACAATTCTTGCATTAGGACAGCCTCTTCCCAGCCATGCCCTCAGTCTGTCCAAAGGCACTCAGCTTTCTCTCTCTGATGGCTGGGAAGCCCACAGCACCAGCTCCTTCTGCTGGGTCTCTGCTGCTGGTCTCTCCTTCCTTGGTGGTGGTGGGCTTCTCCTCTGCCTGGAATTGGCTCTCTTTTAAGGCAAAATTGACCAGTCTTCTTGGTGGGCCACAATTACCCTATCACACAATAGCTTGGGTGGGAGTTACAAAACCAAGGCTAGAAAGGCCACACAAGAGTAATCAATCAGTAATCAATTGCACTGCACCTTATGAGTTAAATTTTAATTTCACGAGATCGCATCTCCTTTTATTCCTACTGTAAGAAAGTGATGTTTGATTTAGTTCTCATTGCATTTGCTCCCAGGTACACAGTAGCAGCTTCTTCAGGCAGAGAATTATGTACAAATTACTGAGCTCCAGTTATAATCCAGAGCTTTTAAATAGAAGACTTAATCTTAAACACAGTATTGGCCATTGAGTGTCTCCCTTTTTTAGACTCCTTGTGTATTTTTTTCATTGTCTTGTCATTATTATTATAAGCAATGCATTGTCATTGTTTTAAAAAAAAATTAATGACAAGGAAATGTGTACGGTAAAAGGTGGAAGCCCTTCTCTCTTCCAAAATGGGAGTTAAAATATGTTCTTAAGAGTCCCGTACTGTATATTAGATGTTTTGGGCATTTCTCACAGTTAAGTTTTCAAATAGGTGATTCAGTAATTAATGTAATAAATAAGTGATATTCGTCAACTAAGATATTATACCCAGATTGTCACACTGTGAATCAGCTCATGTGTCCTCTTGGTCACTTTAATTATTTAAAAGACATTTTGAAAGCAACTCTGAGGATAGATGCATTTCAAGGATCCATGTGATCGCTTGTTGTTGTTGTTGTTAGTAGCCATCAAGTTGATTCTG